CACAAAATACAAATGCTGATGAGATTGCTGGGAGAGTTAGGGAGCAGGACCACTCCTGTTTCACTGCCTTAGTTCCTAGACCTATATATTCCACATGTTAGGGGTACAGCACCATATAAAAGACATCAGTTGAACATGTATGTTGCACTCAGAAAAATAGGGTCTCCTCTCACAAGGTAGCATCTCTAGGCTGTTGCCCCAGGGCTATCGATAATGCTGACATGCTGATAGCTGGTGGAAGAATGAGTGAATTCTAGGACCATATGATTCATTCTGCCCCTCCACTGCTATAAAATGAACTTTGAGTCAGGTAGTTTGTTTGTTTTTGATCAGACACTCCGTGAGTCCTCAGATAGTGGTGGCCAGTGTAGTACTGTCAGCAGGAAAGGCCAATCCATTCAAAACAAAACATTATTTACTATCATTGCCATTAAGCCAATTACAGCTCACAGACCTGTCCCCATAAGGTTTCCTAGGCTATACTCTTCACGCAAACATACTGCCTCATCTTTCTCTCCCATGAAGCAGCTGAAAGCTTCTAATTGATCTTTCCATTAGCAATGGAGCACCTAATCACTCTGCCACCATAGCCAGCTACCGATTACCATCAAGTCAATTCTGACTCATAGCAAGTTGGTTCATAACCGTTGCCCTTTCTTGTCTCTTTCTACATCTTTCTGCCTGAAGTTTGGATGTGATGGCTAGAATGCTACATACCTTTTTGTGTCATCCTGATGGATGGTGGAGAATGGACCAAGAAAGAAATGGCTCCCTGAAGACTTTGTGGAAGAGAACCAACATATATATCAGTCATGGACTGCCTACCTATTCACAACGTTTCACCTGACTCCCCCAAGTACAATCGCTCACTTCTTCCAGTGTTCTGATTGTACTTTCCACAAATCTAGTACATATCCTAACTGAACTGTCTTTCATACTCAGAGATGGTAAATCAGAACCTATTCTGGTTGATTTGTAGTGGATGTTTGAGCAGTACATTGAGAAGGAACCTGAGCTTAAGTTCTTGTTGAGTGGATTAGAAAGTTACACCTTTCTTAGTAATGTGCCTCATAGATTTGACACCTCTGAACTAGGCATACGTCTATCTAATCTTTTTAAAATTT